AATCACCGCCATACCAATTGTTAAGGGTACCATCTTAACAATTAGAGGCATTGCAACTCAAGTACCAAAAGTTCTATAAGTACAAAACTTATGCTCATGGTTTTTCAAATTCATTTTCAAAAGAAATTTTGAAGCTTCATTATGATGTTTACGGACTAAGGCTCTGATACCATTTAAATTGTCACACCCCGGACCTACCCGGACACGTCAACAATCCGCCGTACAGTACGAATAGTCAACCGCAGTCCGACTCATCCATACTATACAAGGTGTCTTGAATACCATTCACACATAGTACATCCATAAACAAACATAATGTAAAACATTTATTAAAGCAGCGGAAACAATTGATACAAGTGTTCAAGCCACACTTGGCATAATTAGGCATGCAAGCCCCCAAAGTAATTATTCAGAAAATATTATCCATGAGCATTATTCATATTGTTCTCAAAACAAGAACGGGAGAAGCACGAACCAAGTCTTCTCCTCAGAAACTTCCCGAAGCAGCGGCTGGTAGTAGCAACCTTCAAGTTCTACCTGAAACTGTGAGGTGGCCTCCCCCGTGAAGGGGAGGTCAGTACTTGGAAGCATTTGACAAGTACAATGACAACTATACTAAGTATAATCGAAGTTTAAATCTCTAAGGCCCTCAATCTAGAGCATCATTACATTATAGTTAATCCGTTCATTTAGTATCAATTCATCATTATTTACTACGGTCTAGAGCCCAGCTCATAATCACCGTTATCTACTACGGTCTAGAGCCCCGCTCGTAATCACCGTCATCTACTACGGTCTAGAGCCCAGCTCATAATCACCGTCATCTACTACGGTCTAGAGCCCAACTCATAATCACCGTCATCTACTACGGTCTAGAGCCCAGCTCATAATCACCATTATCTACATCGGTCTTGAGCCCGGCTCATAATCACCGATTCTTTATAATTCAAATTCTTAGGATCTAATTCATCCATTTCTCAACTAACATTTCCAACTAATATTTCAATGCTAGTTATTTATTTATTTCAATATAATTCTTTCTTCTTGCCCAATTGGCCTTAATATCAAGTATCACTTTCATACCCTCATAGCTTCTCCTCATGGCATCAAAGTATACTATCTCAAATGATATTCATGGTTGGTACAACCATCATACACACATATTCATAGCATCATACAACCGGTCGATTTGGCTTCTAAGTCCGTTTTTGGACTTAGAATCACTTTCCAACCCATTATTCCACACTTAAATCATGTAGAACAATACTAAAGGCCCTTCATATGATATATATCTTATATGCTAGAAGAAAAACAAAGGAAAAGTTATGATAAGGTCATTACCTTAATTTTCACACTTTTTCCTAGCTTTTTCCTTCTTAAACTTCCTTCTTGGACTCCCTTGAGTTTGAGTTCGGATTTGGGCTATGGAGATGAGAAGTTTCAGAGCCTCTCCTTGCTATCCTAGGGTGCTGAATCGTGTGGGTGGAGGTGGTGAGGTGAGAGGGATGGTTTTTGTCTCATTTAGACAAATGAGTGAAGGGAGGGGGTCTACTAAATGTCAAAGGTGTCTCCCCCATCCTCTCAATTGTTGTTCAGCCAATTTGGCACTCATCCAGCCCTCAAGGGTTGACAAATTCGTGGGGTGGCCCCCACCCATGTGGGAGGTCATCCTAATTTGTCCCAAAGTGTGCAATTTGCCCCGAAAGTTGTATTTTCCGGACTGTTTTTAAGTATATTTTATTTTATCGGGTCAAATAAAATATAACACTTGTTCCCAATTCTTAATGGACCTTAGAATCAATATGCATCCCTCTACTTAATTTAGAATTCTCCGAAATCCCTTTTCGGGCTGTTATCTGATAGATTGCCGATACTGATAATTTGGCCCCGTTTGACCAACCGGTCAACCCTATGCCATTGTCATGACTCAACTAGGATATCCACCACCATATACATATTATCTAGTCCAAGATCAATATAATATGTGGCCCCGATAATATCGGGCGGTCCCCACTCCCGATGTGGGCCCCACGTGCATTTTACTATTCACGCGAAAAAGAATTAATACAAATTCAGAACTTCGCAAATTCACTAACAATTTCATAGGGTTCGATAAATTATTAGCTTAAAGATAAATACATTTGGGGACGGTGTTACAAGTCAAGCTGCAGTTGGAAGGGCAAGGAATGCAGTTTATAACGGTAAGTCTAGGCACATTCGTCGTAGACATAATACTGTTAGAAAACTAATAAAAAATGGGATCATCTCTCTTGACTATGTTAAGTCGAAAGAAAATATCACGGATCCGCTAACCAAACCTCTACCGAGAGAGTTGGTCGAGACGTCAAGGAGAGCGATGGGCTTACAGCCAATGATCCAATAAAAGTTCATGGGGAAACCCTACCTATTATTGAGAGTGCCTCATTATTAGGTTCAAAGGGAAAACACAACTGTGGACTGGCTCGGGCGGTACTAGCCAAGATATAGTACACTCATACCAAGAGCACTTAGGGTAAGTTACGCTTTTAATGATCTTTATATCTTGATTCATTCAAGTAAGGTATGACATGATACCTTCCATAGAGATCACCTATGCTGGTGGAAGAAGGCCGCTTCTATGAGAGTTTATGGCACGAGATAAATTCTCCGGTGCACGATAAACTCTTGAAAACACTAGCTGAACCAGGAGGTGTTTATGGCCGAAACGAACACAAACGTGAGAACCAAAGATGCACTCGGGGCTCTCTGTGTTATTCATTGTCTAGGTTTACACAATGGCTGACGGTTCAAAGCAAAGTGCTACCAATTGTCCAGTAAATCCGATGGATATACACTAAGGTAGGTTCAAAGTTTCACGACTACCTAACCCTATGCAGAGTTCCCATCTTCCCATGTCAAATTCCAATCTGTTTCCTGTCTTTAAGCCAATTTCCCATTCATGTGGGGGGGGGGGGGATTGTTGAAAAAAATGGTTTTATAAATTAATATTATGGTCATTAATATTATTTGTAAAAACCATTTTGAAATGAATGAGAAATTGTTCCCTGAAAGATAAGCGTGGAATTATATTAACACGCACACATTGCCGCAGTCAGTCGACCGGGTCGGGTTTGGTTTCGGGTTAAAGTCTTAAACCATCTGCCCGAGTATATGGCTTAAAGATAATTCTATTAGTCGCTTTCAATTTTGGATAATGGTTGGCAATAGACACATCCATTCTTTTTAGATGGAGGGTCACAACCTTTCTTTCTAAAGGTGTCTTTTGGTGTAGAGTCTCCTGGCCAGAGCTCTATATATACCCATGATTGCCACCATTTTCCATCAATCCGAAAATCCACACACACAATCTTCCATATTATTTTCCTTCGTTGCATCTTTGAGTTCGCCGGAATCCCGTTGGGAGCGAAGAACCGTTCTATCCTGGGAGACGCTTGCTTCGTGTGTCAGGCAAAGACGTCTTAAGGAAACAACGCTTACGTTGGGCTCGGTTACAAGTAATCTTACGTTTTTCCTTAACTATTTTATTTTTTATTTCATTTGCATGCAGATTATTGTACATACTTATAACAGTCTTTAATCTCATATCCCCTTTTATTGCACTCTCCATTTTTTTTGAAATTGTTTGTGTTATGATTTATGACATTTACTTTATGTGACAAAAACAAAATTGTATAAACACTCTTTAATGATGCAATTGTTTAAATGGATTAACTCACAATCCCATTAGTGGGATAATTTAATAAAAACTAATAACTCGTGTCTGACTAACACCAGAAGACCTTGGAGAACTTCACAGATACTAAAGCACGGATTCATTGAATTTTTGAAAAGAAAAACAGAATAAACACTATTTAGATTTGCTGTCTTTAAGAATTGAGAACCCATCATAACTTGTATCCTATATTAATACCACCGAACTGAGATATGATAGAGATTTGTCAAACATTTTCAGCGGACACCTCAAAGAAGGGGAAAGTATATATGGAGATGCTCAACCGTTACTTGGACCAGTTACATGCCCCTTCATGTGAGCGTCAGACTTTCATGCAATGTGATGTGAAATTTGACATATCCTAGAGGCCAAGAACTTGAACACCATGTTCGGAAGGGCTGCTTATATCGAATTCTTTCATCATGTGTCATTACTTCCAGAATTCTTCCATTGATTGCTTATAAGATGGATGCTTATGATGAAGCGTGAGTTTACTTGCTGCTGCATATTGCACATTGGCAGAGCATTGTGTGGGGTTGAGTTTCCAATCTTTTAGTACAATTTTTAGTATAAGATAGATGTAATTTGTTCTCTTTGGTGATTGTATCCTCTTATAGTTACCCTTTTTTGGAATGAACAATTACCCGATTAAACAAGTCCTTTTAATGTATTTATTTATCTGATAAATAACTACTCCCTCTGCCTCTAATAACTTTGCCAAGTTTGACCGGCACAAGAATTAATAAAGTAAAAACTGTGTGATTGAAGTTTGTGCAGAGCAGAGAGAATTAACTGAATAGAAATTGTCCTAAATAGGAGTAAAAACGTTTTGAAATTCTAAAATAGGAGTATCATGTGTTTTTATTCCTTGAATAGGAGTAATCTGTCAACTTTGGAAAAAATGTCATGTTTAAAAGCTTAGTAATAAATTTGGCAGAAATTTATTCTTATTTAGGAAATAAAAAACATGATACTCCTATTTTGAAATTTCAAAACATTTTTACTCCTATTTAGAGAATTTACTCTTAATTGAAACTATAAATTATTTACTTAAAAAGGAAATTGGCAAATTAATGGGATATCCAAAAAATGAAAGTCGATAAACTTATAAGGAACGAAGGTAATATCATTTTGTGGAATTTTACTCATGACTAGGCAAGTAGTTCAAGATCGATTTAAAAGTATATACTAACTCCATCCCAAATTTATTTGAAAATTTGACTTAATTATACGGCTTACTTTTCTTGGTTAATTGCTATGCAAGACCGTAAGAGGACATTGACAGTTTCCCTTCTAAAATCTTAAACTGCTTAATTTCTTATCCACAACAGCCACTTTTAGCCGCCACTGTATCCCCCGCTGCTTCTCTTTTTGTCATCCCCAGCTACGACGAGCGGTGACTCTGACCCACTCAACACCGTCGTGCACTCGTGCCTCACCGCTTCTCGCTCCTAAGCACTACTACATCGCCGCCACTTCGTTTAGTCGAAACGGTATTCAAGTATTCAACACGTGCTGAAATGACCCTGTCATACCAGTCCTCCACAATCGCCCCACCTTCCTCTCAATTTCGCTACTCCTTACCTTCCTCCAGAATTCCTCATCAGCTTCACCACCGGAGACTCTCCATTTTCTACCATCGGGGTCGACTCACCGTCAGGGCAATGGCCAGGCCGAAAGAGCTCATATTCGGGAAACCTGCAGTGACCGTGGAGGAAGGCAAGTACGGCTACCACGTCGAAACCCTCATCGACAAGCTTTCGAGCCTTCCGCCGCGCGGAAGCATTGCGCGGTGCCTCGAAACCTTCCGCAACAAGCTCTCTCCCACCGACTTCTCCAACGTCTTCAAGGAGTTCGCCTCCCGCGGCGACTGGCAGCGATCTCTCCGCCTATTCAAGTACATGCAGCGCCAGATGTGGTGCAAGCCCAACGAGCACGTATATTCCATCATGATTGGCATTCTCGGCCGCGAAGGCCTTCTCGACAAGGCATTGGAGATATTCGATCAAATGCCAACTCACAGTGTGGCCCGGAATGTCTTTTCCTACACCGCAATTATCAATGCCTTTGGCAGGAACGGTAAGTATGAAACCTCCCTTCGATTGCTGGATAAGATGAAAATGGAAAAAGTTGTTCCCAATATTCTGACATATAATACTGTCATTAATGCGTGTGCTCGTGGAGGGTATGAATGGGAGGGATTATTGAGTCTGTTTGCTGAAATGAGACACGAGGGGGTTCTACCAGACCTGGTCACATACAATACTCTTTTAAGTGCGTGTGCAATTAGAGTATTAGATGATGAGGCAGCACTGGTGTTCAGGACAATGACTGAGGGTGGGATTTTACCAGATATTACCACTTATAGATATTTAGCTGACACATTTGGAAAACTTGGGAAGTTAGGGAAGTTCTCAGAATTGCTTAGGGAAATGGAGTCTGGAGGGAACTTACCAGAGGTAACATCCTATAATGTCTTGTTGGAGGCATATTCCCAATCAGACTCACTGAATGAGGCTATGAATGTTTTCAGGCAAATGCAGGCAGCAGGGTGTGCTCCTAATGCAGACACTTATACCATTTTGTTGAATTTATATGGGAAGAATGGGAGGTATGATCAGGCCAGGGATCTCTTCCTTGAGATGAAAATTAGTAACACCGAGCCAGATGCAGATACGTATAATATTCTCATCCAGGTGTTTGGGGAAGGTGGATACTTTAAAGAAGTAGTTACACTGTTCCATGATATGATAGAAGAGAATGTGGAACCAAACATGGAGACTTATGAGGGGTTAGCACACGCGTGTGGAAAGGGAGGACTTCATGAAGATGCAAACAAGATCCTTCTTAATATGTACCAAAAAGACTTCGTTCCAAGCTCTAAGGTGTATACTGGTGTTATTGAAGCATATGGGCAGGCTGCTTTGTACGAGGAGGCGATTGTTGCTTTCAATACAATGAATGAGGTTGGAAGCATGCCTGACATTGAAACTTTTACTTCTATGATCCATGCATTTGCTAAGGGGGGACTTTACAAAGAGGTTGAAGCAGTATTAGTTACGATGGATGAAGTCGGAGTTCAGAGGAACAGTAATTCATTTAATGGAATGATTGAAGGTTATCGTTATATATATAAGCATTATTTGCAGCCTTTTTATTTTATCATTTTTATATATATTCATCTTTTTTTATATTATCTTTTCATAATAGCTTATCTTTTTATCTTTATTCCTTCTTTTCCTTTTGGTTGTGATATCATGTATCGATTCATGTTAGCCGACCCCAATATCTTTTGGGACTAAGGCTTGGATGTTGTTGATGTTGTTGTATTGAAGGTTATCGACAGGGAGGCCGGTTCGAAGAAGCTATAAAGACTTACACTGATATGGAAAAGGAAGGGTGCAATCCAGATGAAGATACCTTTGAGGTAGTTTTGAGCGTCTACTATTTTGCTGGTCTGGTTGATGAATGTGGGCAACAATTTCGGGAAATAAAATCAGTTGGCATACAACCAAGCGTTATCTGCTATTGTATGATGCTTGCAGTCTATGCAAAAAGTGAAAGGTCAGGTTTTAATAGGCTATTTCCTCTTTTTGTGTGCTAGTGTTTAAATTTTGTAGTGAGATATGGGCCGTGAAGCTTAGAATATCTCTAGAAGTTTGTACCCATGCCCTTAATTTGACTGAATATTTTACACTTTGAGAGCTGTTCAAGGAAAAGCAAAACATTTTTTTTTATTTCCTGACTTGAAATGGCAACAGATGGGATGAAGCCTTTGTATTATTGGATGACATGTTAACACATAAGGTTTCAAACATGCATAAAGTAATTGGACAAATGATCAAGGGAGAATTTGATGATGAGTGTAATTGGCAAATGGTTGAATATGTGTTTGACAAACTCAAGTATGAAGGGTGTGGTCTGGGCTTGAGATTTTACAATGCACTTCTAGAAGCACTTTGGTGGTTTTCCCAGAAGGAAAGAGCAGCAAGAGTTCTTAAGGAGGCAACGAAAAGGGGACTGTTTCCTGAGTTGTATCGGAAAAACAAGCTTGTGTGGTCTGTAGATGTACATAGGTAAGCACTAGTAATATTTGCTCCTGGAATTTATCTATCCTTTCATCGAAAAAACAATCTTATTGAATATTCTACACTGAAATGTTATTATCATATAGAATGTGGCCTGGAGGTGCATGTACTGCAATATCTGTCTGGCTTAACAATATCAAGGCGCTGTTGCTGAAAGGGGAGGACCTTCCTCATGCTGCATCTGTTGTGGTGGTGTAAGTGCCTTTTTTGTTCCTTGTCATGAATACATGACAGAGTAATTCTGTTTGTATGTTTATGTTTTGGGAGATTTCCCAAAATAGGAGTAAATGGAGTTTGGAATTTCAAAATAGGACTACTATGTTTTTATTCCCGAAATAGGACTAACATGACAGTATTTACTATCATCTTGTAGGCGTGACTGCCAAATAGTTTCAGTACAGTGCATTAAACATGACAATATTAATTATAATTAATGACATTATTTTTCTATTATGGCAATATTTTTCATACATGACAGTAACAACTCCTATTTCGGGAAGAAAACATAGTAGTCCTATTTTGGAATTTCAAACCTCATTTACTCCTATTTTGGGTAATTTCCCTTATGTTTTTTCTTTCCTTTGTTTGTGTTAATTATATCTCCATTTTGTTATTTTTTGTTTTACAGACGAGGCCAGATGGAGAGTAGCTCAAATACTGAAGATTTTCCGATTGCAAAGGCTGTTAATTCTTTTCTGAAGGATCACGTCTCATCATTTTCTTTCCCTAGTTGGAACAAGGGCCGAATAGTGTGTCCCAAATCTCATCTCGACCAAATCTTTTCCAGTTCAGAATCATCATCTTCAAAAGGCCACATCCAAATTTCTCTTAGTAATACTCCCCTTCCTCTTCTGGCTACACAACCATCTAGTACAAGGAGATCAAAGCACAACACAGCTTCAGGTTCAGAACTTTTGGCAACCACAACTTGAACTGTTTTCTCAGAAAGCTGTTTGCAACCATGAGATTGGTGTTTTTGGCATGCGAAGAATGAGCTTCCAGTGAGCAATCTGTCTGTAGTAGACTAGTACACTCACCATGAAATGAAGTTCCGCCTATCTGGAGAGCTGTGGCCCATACACCTGTGGTACATTTAACTATCGTGATTCTTTTATATTAGTATTGGAAAACTGCTGGACAAAAATATTACCGAGCATTTAATGTATGAATAACTGTTTTTCTCACCCAAAAATCTCTGCAGAAAGATATTACTTCGTGCATATTTCCCCAAAAAAATTCTGCTGAAGCTTAGCCACAGTCTCGCCAATTTCCTCCTGAGAAATTATCGGCCAACTCTGATAGATACTCGATTGTGCATATCTCCAATGTGATCCCTCCAAAATGTACGGATAACGGTTTTTCTCACCCAAAAAATCTCTGCAGAAAGATACTACTTCATGCATATCTCCCAAAAAAACTCTGCTGAAGCTTAGCCATAGTCTCGCCGATTTCCTCCTGAGAAATTATCGGCCAACTCCGATAGATATTCATTTGTGCATATCTCCAATGTAATCCCCATAAATTACTGCTGCTCGGAGGACACGAGAAGAAGCTCTCTCCCGTCGACATTGATTCTAATTGGAAGAAGCACACTATGATGGTAAGAAATAAATAAAATTTTCCACTTTTTATCTAAAATATTAAAAAATATCCTACTCTACTTCTCATATCGTCAAATTAGCTCGAGAAGAATATGTCTTGCTTATCCATTTGAGTCCTACTTGAAAATGATTTCCTGTTTTTTTCATAGATCAACAAAGTCATCGATTCTTGATTTTTTATGCATCCATATTCTTTCATATACTCCCTCTGTCCCGAAAAGGTTCGCCAATTTGACTTTTCTTGGTCAATGACAATCAACTTTGATTAATGATATTTTTTAATACGAAATTTTTAAGAGTATGAAAATTATATCAAAATGTTCCTTATTCAAAATATTTTCATAAAAGTATAAAATTTATAAATTATATGCAAATATAATAACTAAAATCATTGTCCAAAGTTCGCCATCATTGACCAAGAAAAGCCATTATGACGAACCTTTTCGGGACGAAGGTAGTATAAGCTATTCGATAGTCTGAGTTCGGGTAATATAGCTTAACTAGTTGTTGGAAAATTTTCAGCCTATTCTGAGCCAAGTGTACTGTCAAATTCATTTCAAATTGGCTGAACTTGTTTGTTCAGTTTATGTCTTTTGTAAATGTGGAGTTGTGTTTGTGTTGTAGATTTACTTCTCATTAAAGAGATAGTGTCACACTACTTATGTTCATTTATTCAGATTAGATTAGACTTCAAATGTGCAGATGCAAGTAGCACCCTTAAGAATGCATACATTATGATCTTATGTACCTTTCATATGTCCTTTGATTCCTACAACACCCCTTTGTAGTTTAATATTACAAAATGTTGTTCTACTAGTTATACACCATAGCTTCCTTGCTAACTCAAATATTGTTTGTTTTTCATTTTATAGGGAATGAAAACATCCGATGACTTCATTACTCCCCCACAACCATCAACACCATCCTGAGATCATCTCGCAAACTCTAACTTCCATGTAAACCTACCCTACCCGTGTAAGTATACTATGCATGGATTGCATGCTCATACTTTTAATAAGAGTGGCTAGATGCCTATTTTAAAAAAGGTTACTGACTAACATTATAATGTTACTACCTATTGTAAGTTACTTACACGGAATTTTTATCGAAGTGGGCCGAAAAAGGTTGAGTATTTTGAAACTGACCTTCCTTATTTTACATAATTAGAAAATAGTGAAATTACATAAGGACCCTTAATAAAACGACAACCTAGAAGTGAGAAACGACGGTCTTTTGGGATTTAAAAAAACAGCTTCTTGGTCCCATGCCTTCGTTGGAACTTGGACGATTCATCAAAATGCCCTAAAACGGTTCCGTATTTGTCAAAATGCCCTCCTAACGTTCGCTAGTGTTAGGCTACCCGTCTTCGTTAAATTTTGTGTACTTCTCATTATACCACTTTCAGTTCATCACGACTTTCTCTTTCGAGCCGTCACATTATAACTACCTCATCCCAACGGCTCCATCTTCACCACAGTAACATTTATTTCAGATTCTCATACCTTCCTCTCCACATTTATTTCAGATTCTCATTCCTTTCTACTTCATTTATTCCACATTTATTTCAAATGCTCCATGGTCTTCAGCCTCTAGCCTCTACATCGACTCATATCAACTCAGTACCAAATGCTTCACTGAGTAAAGCGTATATACATTCTCTTCATTCGTCATCCTGCATGACAAGATCAGCAACATATACTAAACGCTTGGATAAAGCTACATCTGCATCCTCTTCAAATTCTCTAGCTTTTCTGATGCGTTAAATCATAAAACTCGTATCATATTTTACTATGTGTCAACCTACGCATGCCAATCTTAACTGAAAGATTAGTTTAACTATATGTTTGACAATCATACGATTGAATAGATCACAATTATATAACGATCGACCGCGCTAATCAACCACTTTGATTATCATAACCTATATATTTTTTATTGTTAGACTATAATATGGTCGTCTATGTGTTGAAACTTTAACACAAGTCTACTATATGATTTTCATTTTGTCGACCATATGTTCGACATCATATGGTCGAATAGTTGAAAAAAAATGTGGCTGATATGGTCTACTGGCCCATCATAACATACATTTAATTTCTTCATAATTCATTGGGTTGAACAAAACATGGTCGAACAGTATATGCCCAGTATATGCCCAGGTTGTAGAAACAAAGGACACACTATTTGAATAGTCGAAGTCATCAGAAGTGTTTAAGCCATCAAAAACAAATAAGTCATCACAAGTGTTTAATCAATCACAACACATAATCATCAAAATAGTTTAAGCAATCACAAAAAATAAATATTGCTTCTTCACATAATGACCATTTGTTAGTTAACCAGCTAATTTCACAGTAAATTCAAGAATCAATATGAAGACAAGAGATGTGTTTGAAACAGAAAATGTGGAGAGAGAAATACAAAGGCAGTTTAAGAGTGCCCACTCTCCAAGTCCCAAGCCCAAATGATAATTCCAACCCCCCCTTCTATTCTGCCCTCAACATCTATTTATACTAACTATTCTAATATTATTATTACTCTTATTATTATCAGTGCTATTCTGTCGGAGTCCTATCACATCTCCCCCCTTGAACATCCACCTTGTCCTCAAGGTGGGTGATAGGAATCCGCCTTGATCTTCAACTTTATCTTCATCGTGTCACCTCTCCCATCCCAATACCTCACTGATTTCTGGACTTGTAGGCTTGTAGCTTCAATCCTTGAACCTTCATCTTCAAGTTCTGTCTTTTAGGATCATCACTCCCTCCAAGTAAAACCTGCCTCTCATTGCTATCATAACCTTGGAAGATTATTCCTACTTCCCAGTGTCTTCCTGGTTGTTTATCAACTCTTAGACCCTTCTCCATATCGTTTTCATTGCTTGGAACATCACACTTTGATCTGTTTCTTTCTAGATCACCATATTTCCGGAGCTTGGTCAACGCCATTGAAGAGTCTTGAGTCAGAGTTGATACTTCTTCCGGATTTGAAACTCTTGAGATACATTGATCACTGCCCACCAGCACATAGCAATATCCACTCCCGTGGAATGCCTTATTATCTCCCCAATCTCCTGAGTAATAAGATGTAGCATTTCCTTAACAAAAATAGGACCAAGAGCTCAAGCCATCATACAAAGCCTTTGGATTCAGCCTTAAAACAGCAGAGCTGAAATCATTCACCCAGCCATCATTAGGAAGTGTTGTTGACACCTGTAGGTCCTGGTAGATGTTCAACGAATAGCAACTCATGTTTTCAGCACCAAATTCCAGCACCCAGATGATTGACTGAACCTCAAGAACAGCCTCTCTCCCAATAGTCAACATATTTAAAGAACCAAAATCATTCAATCCTTTTTTATGCTGGAGGCTGGAAGAATCAAGATAGGATCTAACAATTTCCTCGTAAGGGCTACTCATACCTTCTGCTGGGCTTCTAGTAGAATAGGAATTTGCCAAATCAGGATCATTCAACAAGAATAACATCTGAGAGATCAATTTAAACATTGGTAGTCCTTCCGTTATAGGCTTGAGGTCAACAGACAGCATTTTAATATTTCTCACTTTCTTCTGTGTGATCACCAAGAATGGCAGATAGAGTTTCTCATAGGCTCATAGCAATGGAAGTCAAACGCCTTACCCCTATGAACCCGATAGTCCAAACCTACACCTGCTTCTTGAATAGGTATACAAACTGTTGGCATTCTCTTTGCATTTTCACCAGCTAACAAGGCCTCTTGGATGATAGCAGGATTAATTCCATTGTCAAACATCATGAACATGTCATCATAACCATCAGTAGTATAACCCACTTTTTCCTTCCAATTTCCAGTAAGTCCTACCCTCAATCTATCTTTATTGTCCTTAATAGAAGTAACATCATCAATTCTGAAGCCATCAAACTCAGTCAACCCTTCCAAAATCCCCTTTGGTATTTGACGATGCACACTTGGAATATCATAAGTATGGATTCGTAGGTGAGACATGCTCTCCTCATCAGCCCCATGCGATATTGTTGTTCATTCCCAAAGCAGGATCATTGTGGTAGATATGATTTCCTTCCTGACTGTAAGGAATATCAGGTTTGAGCTGTTCGGGTTCTTCGAGAATATCTGGTGAGTATCCTGTCTGTTGATTAGTATCCTTGTCAGGACCCGATTCCAAAATTGGGGGTTCAACCGACTTCCATTCAATGTTTGGTGTCGATGAAATCCCCAAGGAGGATACTTGAGCCGACTCAGAAACCTGCGGTGCATCTTGCGAATTGGTTGAAACAGCCCGCAAAGAGGAACTATGATAGGGACCCACCTATTGACTAATAAATAGACTAGTAGCTATTAGTTAAAATGCTGTAATAGATATTAAATAAAGTCAGTTGCTGGACTGCTATAAATAGAAGGTAGGCTGGGAAGGGAAGGAGGCTTTTGGACTCTTTGTCTTGGGACTTGGGAAGACTGAGACTAATAATCTCTTTCTTTGGGAGCTTCGGCTTTTGGGGGCCTCGGCCTTAGTTTCTTGTTACTGTTCTTGATTCAATAAAGTTTCTTGATAAATTTCTGTAAATTCCTCTATTCTGGTGCGTGATCCTAACATTGGTATCAGAGCACGTCTATCTTGGGAAGATGGAAGGACGTGTGACGGATATAGAAAGAAATCTGAGAGAGACCGCAGCTAGGCAAGCTGATATGGCGAAGACGATGGTAGCTATGAAAGCTAGCATCGCGGAAATACAACACAGACTTCATAGTCGATCGATGAATCCATCGCACACTTCTGATACGTCGCATCAAGAACCGAAGCTTCGAAAGGAACATGGAGATCGATCGAGCAACCCCAGGCATCATCGTCTCTGTGACAAGCAGAGTCCGTCGCAATCGCTCACAGATTCGCAGTCGGAGTCGCGAACTACTTCGCAATCTCAGGGCTCGCAATCGCAAACTACACGTCATTGTTCACAGTCGCGATACAGATCGCATGCGTCAAACGCATCGCATCGGGAATCTCATCTTCATCATACGCGAAGGTTAGCGAGTCCAGAGGACTCAGAAGAGCGGAGGCATCGCAGAAAATCTGGCGATCGAACTTTTTCTTCGCCAAGCTCTTCACATAGCTCTTCGCAGAGTTCTTCTCATCAGTCTTATCTTCGCTCTTCGCACCAGACTATCTCAACGGACATCAGTTCGCACTCTAGGAAGACACGATTGAGAGGAGAATCTTCTTCACCAAATGATTCTCACAGTTTGCTATCTTCTTCTAAAGCAGTTTCTCGGAACTCAGCTAATTCAAAAACGGAGAAATTACCTCTATTTTACGAGGATGAAGCGTACAAATGGATAGAAAGGATGGAAAGATATTTCCGAGTCCAAGCTATTGCAGAAAGATTTAAAGTGGATATGGCAGCCAAGGCAATGGGGGATGCAGCAGATGGTTGGTTTCAATGGTGGGATTTTCACAAGAGAGAAGATAGTTGGGAGGCTTTAAAGGAAGATTTGATTAGGGATTTTCCACCTAGACACCGGCAGAAGACAGGGAAGACAGCAAAATCAGAGTCATCGAGGTCTTCGCCAGTTTTTTCACTGTCAAGATTGATGAGTTCACAAGTTTCTCAACCTGCGAAAGAATTGCACCAGTCAATAAATAAGACTGAGATGGAGCCAACGGAAGTTGTAACCAAGAAAATGAATAAGAAGGATGAAACCGAGGAGCAAGGACAGATTACCCAATGGCCAGAGAATTCATGCATTGATACACAGTCTTTGAGTTTGGGAAAGAAGCAAGCTGACCAATTATGCGATAGGGAAGTGCAGAACAAAAGTTCAGATGATGAAGCTGTCCTCTCACTGATATCACCAGTTTCTGTACTTAAAGGATCAGAAGGTCTTACTAAGTTTGATATTTCAACAGATGCTCATGAAGATAAAGGTAGGGATACCATTATAACTGTAGAAGAAGGGCCCACTGTTCCTGCAGAATCAA